ACACACACACACACACAGAGTTCTTCAGGTGAAAATTTCTGAGTGGGAGGCAGAGTGCCCTGTGAGGCTGCTGACCTGGAGAATCTTTTCCTTTGTGGGGAGGCCCTTTGGCCCCAGCAAAGGGGCTGCGCAGACCTCACTTCCATCTGTGAAGGTGAATTCTCCCTCCATGGAGGTAGTATGTGCAGTTCACAGACCAGTGGTCTTCATGCTATGTGTATTCTAAGGAAAAATGATGAGATCACTGATGCCTTCCATGGCCTCTCCAAGGCTGGGTATAAGAGAGAACCTGGCGAAGGAAGGAGATGGAAGAACTTCGATTTTCATAAGCTCTGACATGGGTGACCTTGGATATTTCTGCCATACCAGGAAGTCACAATCTTCACAAAGCTGGCTCCTGGGGCTACCTGCTCCACTGGCTTTATGACTAGAGACTCGGTGACTAGGCTCTGTATCCACTGGGTTTTCTGGAGAAAGAGACATTATTTGATATAATTATTAAAACCAAACTTGTCTGCCAGCTGCCAGACAGTCAAGGCTGATGCAGTCTGGGCTAATCCATTGAGTTGGCCATCTCCCATGCTTTCATCACAGGCACCCTCTCTCCATTCCCTGAGGGCCCGCAGCTCTAGAGGTGCAATTGCCTCAGTTCTCAGAGGGTCCCCCCGGAGGGTCTATCTTCCTTCCTCTCCCCTTTGTTTCTAACACTTGTGTCACTCTCAGCACCACGTGGTAAGTGCTACTGTTGCCAGCTTTCCTGCTGATAAGTTTTTTGTTCAACCTGCTGGCGATAGCTGAGATACTCCAGGATAATAAGACGTAAAAGTCCGAGCTAATCATTTACTGGCTGTGGAAGAGGGAGAAACCTCTTGTCCCAAGTGACAATTGTGTTCATTTGTTCATGCACTTATGTATCCATTCAACAAACAACTGTGGAACCACTGCAAAGCTCCAGGTGATAGGCCTTGACCAATGAAATAATGCAAAACAAAGGAGGCCAAAAGGATGAACCTGAAGGATTCTGTCAACTTCATTGTCTTACCTGAGTGAATAACTAATGGGATGGAGTGGGAGATTCTAGGCCACTAAGATACTATACTTTACCTTAGCCAAAAGGCCTAGATTGCTTCTGGCAGGTGGTAATATGGCCACCTGTTCTATCATTGTGCCTTTGATCACACTGAGTGGTTTGTCTAAGGCCTCTCTGCCCTGAGCTACAGGTAAAAGCTGAAGCAGGCATTGTTTCATCCCACAGATACCCTAGGTCAAAGCAAGCTCTCAAGATTCAGGAGAAAGTGAGAGGTGCTTACCTTCAGGAGAAGAGCTACAGTACTGGGGATCTTGGAGGCATTTTGTCTTCAAAGATGTGTTCCCGGAGAGCTGCAGAAAGGGTGGAGTTCTTCCTGGGACACCTGCATGGCGTCCAGGACTCTGGGCCCTGTGGTCACTGGGAGCTGTGGAGGAAGAGTCAGCCGATTCCCTTTGCAGCCTCTCTGGATGGAATGACACTTCCTTTTTTTCTTTTTTTCTTTTTTTTTTTTTTTTTTTTAACAGAGTCTAGCTCTGTCACCAGACTAGAGTGCAGTGGTGCAATCTCAGCTCACTGCAACTTCTGCCTCCTGGATTCAAGCGGTTCTCCTCTCGATTCTCCTCCCTCAGCCTCCCAAGTAGCTGGGACTACTGGCGTGCACCACCACACCCAGCTAATTTTTGTATTTTTAGTAGAGACGGGGTTTCACCATGTTGGCCAGGATGGACTCGATCTCTTGACCTTGTGATCTGCCCTCCTCAGCCTCCCAAAATGCTGGGATTACAGGCGTGAGCTACTGCACCTGGACACTTCCAAATGTAGACACACATGCCTGCAGGCCCCTTGAAGTAGGAGGACCAACAGAGTTGCTCCAGCTCAGCCTCCCTGAATGGCTTCATGAAGGCCTGCCTGGGGTGTGAGAGCCAGGAAATGGCACTTGCATTGGACCAAACTGTCACTGACACACAATTTAGTGCTTTTTTATTCTTCAGTTAGATGTGCAGGCCCATAAAAGCAGACATGAAACAAAAGAAGGGCTGTGGTATGAATCCCTTAAAAATAAAGAAGTCTGTTCGAATGTGGGGTTAATGAAAAATCACACTCAATATTATACCAATCTTTCTGTTTTTTTCAACAGAGAATACTGGAGTCTCACAACAATACCTTAGTTGACCCTTGTGTAAGTATAAATTTCCAACTATGACCCCAAAATAAGTCAGGCCTTTCTCCGGGCACACTATGTCATGACTGCCTTTCCCCGAATCATGCTCAGTCTCAGTTGGAGTATGCTGCCGTGTGTGATGAGCAGATGCAAGCCAGGTACCTGGGTCTGGGATTGGGTATCTCAGTGCAAAAGCATCCTTTTTTTTTTCAGTAGAAATCTTCAAATTTCCTCATTTCCCTTAGAAAGTGAGTACGGTAGACTGAGCTCTAGATCACCGAGATCTCCAGAGACAAGAACTTGAAGTAGTAATGGGCAGGGCTGGCCTGCTGATTAGGGAGAAGGATCGAATGTCAGAAAATAAAAGCATTTTCAAGTAGGTGGCATGAATGGACAGGAAAATCCCGAATATCCATTCCAAGGTGCAGACAGAGCTCACTCAGCCAGAAGGAACAGGCTGAGCCAAGCTGGCGAGTTCGAGGCGTGGACTCTGTCATTAGTTCTGCAGAGGAACACACACAGGAAAAGTGAGTCTCTTATGAAGCCCCTATTGCCCGTCTTGAGGGAGGTTTAGGCTCAGTGTGCTGAGCTGGTTAGCACAAAAACCATCACCACTTGGCAAATGATGAGGCATGCTTACTCTCATTTCTTGACTGGTGCTCAATGATGTACAAACCTGATTCCACAGGCTCCATTATCAACCAAAATCAAGGCTGTTTAGGAATAAATAAATTTCTTTGAGACAAGATCTTGCTGTGTCACCCAGGCTGGAATGCAGTGACACAATCACAGCTCACTGCAGCCTCAACCTGCTGGGCTTAAGTGATCCTCCCACCTCAGCTTCACAAATAGCCAGGACTATAGGTGCATGCCACCACATCGGCTAATTTTTTAAATTTGTTGTAGAGCCAGGGTCTCACTATGTTGCCCAGGCTTGTCTTGAACTCCTGAGCTCAAGTGAATCTCCCAGCTCCCAACCCAAGTGATCCTCTCAGCCTCCCAAAGTGCTAGGATTACAGGCATGAGCCACAGTGCTGGCCAGGAAGAAATAATTTGGTAATGATTTATTGAAAGCCAAATGTGAGGAGTGACTCAATAAAACACACCAACAAAGTTGGGAGTGTTTGGAGTTTTTTACAAATTGAAACCCCTTTTTTTTTTTTAGATGGAATCTCACTCCATTGCCCAGGCTGGAGGCCAGTGGCACAATCTTGGCTTACTGCAACCTCCACCTGCTGGGTTCAGGCAATCCTCCTGCCTCAGCCTCCCAAGTAACTGGGACTACAGGTGTGTGCCACCATGCCTGGCTAATTTTCTATATTTTTAGTAGAGACAGCATTTCACCATGCTGGCCAGGCTGGTTGTGAACTCCTGACCTCGTGATCTGCCTGCCTCAGCCTCCCAAAGTGCTGGCATTACAGGCGTGAGCCACCACACCAGTCACAAGTTGAAATGCTTTTATAGCAGAGGTCCCCAAACTTTTTGGTGCCAGGGACCAGTTTCGTGGAAGACAGTTTTTCCACGGACCAGGATGGGGTCGGGGGCAAGGTGATCTGGGGATGTTTCAAGCATATTAAATTTATCCTGCCCTTTATTTCTATTATTATCACATTGTAATAGATAATGAAATAATGAAATAATTATACAACTCACCATCAAGTAGAATCAGTGGGAGCCCTGAGCTTGTTTTTCTGCAACTAAACGTTCCCATCTAGGGGTGATGGGAGACAGAGACAGATCATCAGGCATTAGATTCTCAAAAGAAGTACGCAACCTAGATCCCTTGCATGTGGAGTTTACGATAGGGTTTGTGCTCCTATGAGAATTTAATGCTGCTGCTGATCTGACAGGAGGCGGAGCTCAGGCAGCAATGCGAGCAATGGGGAGCTGCTGTAAATACAGATGAAGTATCACTCACTCACCCACCACTAACCTTCTGCTGGGTGGCCCATTTCCTTAAAGGCCATGGATTGGCACGGGTCCTTACCCCAGGAGCTAGAAACCCCTGTTTTGTAGAAGAGGTTAGGAGAAGGGAGAGGGACTCCTCACACCAGAGCTTTCCTTTCTCATTGAAGGGTACAATACAGAAGTTACAATTATTGGATATAGATCGCAACATACAGGCTTAAATGTCTCCATGTAAGACCATCAGTAAAACTCTAAGATTCAGAAATAAGTCAGTGTCCTTTTCAGCGTCACTGGGTTATGCATTAATCACTGTGTCAACAGTTTGAGAGACTCATGATAAGATTCAGGGACAAGATTTCACCATGAATCACAAGACCTTCCTAAGGTGGGTTAATTGGAGAGCCTGTTTACTTTTAAACTAAACTGCCAAATGTGACCTGTAGATTATCACATTCGCCTTTTGATTAAAAAAAAAAATCTTCCCATGGAAGCACTGCTGATCAATCTGCTAGGTTAGGGGGATAGATGTTCTTCATTCCTTGTCAATGGGAAGGCTTATTCCAGGGAGTCATGTGCCTCGGTGGGGGAAAAAAACCTTGTTACTGCAGCCAGGCCAGTTTGCTGACAACATGAGGTAGGTCATAACACAAGGCTACATGCTATTCTCCCGAATGATAAATCATCTCACTGGGAAATCAGTATTTTGGCCTTAGTCATTGATCTAAAGCAAGCAGAAATGCAAATCATGAGTGACTTAATAGCCAAGAAAATAAACTATGTTTATTATTGGGTTGGCACAAAAAAAGAAGTTGCAGTTTTTACCACCAGAAGTAATGGTGAAAACCGCAATTACTTTTTTGCACCAACCTAATATTATAATCACAACAACTTGAAAACCGCAATAGAATAAAGAAATTAGTCCTAAGAGTAACCAAATGAACAAGTCATCAACTTATAGTTGTTGTTGCTTGCTGAATCATCTCTAGTCTTCAGAATTTCATAATTTTACTTTTCTTGGAAGAAGTAAAACAATGAGAGATTCATAGCATCAATAATTTGAATAGTAGAAATATAATGCACACAAAAATTAAAATCAAAAAGAGAATTTGTATACTAGAGTAGGGGGAAAAAAACCCTATTCCATTAGGGAGCCAACTAAGAAAGAAAATTAAATTCAGGTTCTGCTTTAGAGACTTACTATAGCCAGGAAATAATTAAGTCCAAATTGCAAGTAAATAGTAATTTTTGAAACTCAAAAACAATGGTCCGGACTAGAATCTAGTAACAACTACGCTATAATTTTCTTCTGAAAGATAATTTTTCTCTCTTCAATCTCCCTTTTCTGCCAAAGAAAAATCATAGGTCAATTTTATTTGCAATATAAGTTTTAGCCTTGTTGTGTTTGACCTGATTATTTATGTAAAAGGCAACAGGAATAGTGATTGTCCATATAGGCTCCTTTTTTTATTAGACATTTTAGATTAGACCTTTTTTTTTTTTTATGATGGAGTCGTGCTCCATCACTCAGGCTGGAGTGCAGTGGCACAATCTTTGCTCACTGCAAGCTCCGCGTCCTGGGTTCACGCCATTCTCCTGCCTCAGCCTCCCGAGTAGCTGGGACTACAGGCACCCGCCACCACTCCCAGCTAATTTTTTTTGTAGTTTTAGTAGAGACGGAGTTTCACCGTGTTAGCCAGGATGGTCTCATTCTCCTGACCTCATGATCCACCCGCCTCAGCCTCCCAAAGTGCTAGGATTACAGGTGTGAGCCACCGCACCCAGCCTAGATTCAACTTTTAAAAGCTTCTTCAGGATAGAAAGCCAAGTCAAGGATTTATCATCAGATCGTGCCTCTACTACTTGTAATAATTGGGTAAATTCCTCCTTTCTTGAAGTCCTCCAAATACCTCAAAGTTTCTGGGCCGGTCAGGAAGGGACATTACTTAACACGAGGTCAAAACACCTACAAGGGATTGCAGTACATTGAGCTCCATAGAGACAGTGCTGGGGTAAGTGAGAGCTGTACAGGCACTGGGCGACTCTGTACCTTGCTGCGGAAAAATAACTAAACATGGGCAAAGGAGATCCTAAGAAGCTGAGAGGCGAAATGTCATCATGTGCATTTTTTGTGCAAACTTGTCAGGAGGAGCATGAGAAGAAGAACCCAGATGCTTCAGTCGACTTCTCAGAATTTGTTAAGAAGTGCTCAGAGATGTGGAAGACCATTTTTGCTAAAGAGAGAGGAAAATTTGAAGATATGGCAAAGGCGGACAAGGCCGGTTATAAAAGAGAAATGAAAACCTGTATCCCTCCTAAAGGGGAGAAAAAAAAGTTCAAGGATCCCAGTGCACCCAGGCGTCCTCCTTTGGCCTTTTTCGTGTTCTGCTCTAAGAATCGCCCAAAAATCAAAGGAGAACATCCTGGCCTGTCCATTGATGATGTTGTGAAGAAACTAGCAGAGATGTGGAATAACACTACTGTAACTGACAAGTAGTTTTATAAAAAGGTGGCTGCGAAGCTGAAGGAAAAATACAAAAAGGATATTGCTGCATATCGAGCTAAAGGAAAGCCTAATTCAGCAAAAAATGGAGTTGTCAAGGCTGAGAAAAGCAAGAAAAAGAAGGAAGAGGAAGAAGATGAAGATGAAGAAGAAGATGATGATGAATAAGTTGGTTCTAGCGCAATTTTTTTCTTATCTACAAAGCATTTAAGCCACCTGTACACAACTCACTCCCTTTAAAGAAAAAAACTTAAATGCAAGACTGTGTAACATTTGTTTTTAAACTGTACGCTGTCTTTTTTTGTATAGTTAACCACTACCGAATGTGTCTTTAGATAGCCCTGTCCTGGTGGTATTTTCAATAGCCGCTAACCTTGCCTGATACAGTATGGGGGCTGTAAATTGGCATGGAAATTTAAAGCAGATTCTTGTTAGTGCACAGCACAAATTAGTTTTATATGAGGATGGTAGTTTTTTCATCTTCAGTTGTCTCTGATGCAGCTTATATAAAATAATTGCTGTTCTGTTAACTGAATACCACTCTCTAATTGCAAAAAAAAAAAAAAAAAAAAAAAAAACAGTTGCAGCTGTTTTGTTGACATTCTGAATG